CGCTGTCCCTCAGCTCTTCAGCTCAAGGCTAGCACTCTACCACCTGAGCCATAGCGCCACTTCCGGCTTTTTTCTTTTTGCTTATGTGGTGCTGAGAAATCGAACCCAGGGCCTCGAGCATGCAAGGCAAGCGCTCTACCACTGAGCCACCTTCCCAGCCCAAGAAAATTTTTCTTATACATCTAATGTAGAGAGATAATTTTAGGTATTTCTTCTAGTAGTACTGTAGTGTTAGATTTTATGCTTAGGTTATGATCTATTTTGAATTAGTTGGTGTGAGGTATGGACCAGGGCTTATTTTATTCCATGTAGATACCCAGGCGCTTCGGCACTCTTTGTTCTCCACTAGATTGCTTTGGCATCACTATAGACACTTGTAGTAGTATAAAGAACATGCGTTTCTCATTGGCTTTCTTGGTTGTCCAAGTATGGAGAGAGGAAACTTACTCTTTACTAGTCTCTTAATCTTTTAAATTTATACTTGGTTACATTCTGGATGTTTCTGAGTACTGACTCAGGAAGCCCAGAACTTTTTCACGATGACAATGAGTTCCTGTGACTGAATTCTCCCTTTGTTTGGATATAGAATGACCAGTATCCCAGTGAAGGAACGGGTGAAAGTGTCTCAGAACTGGAAGCTAGGGCGCTGTCAAGAAGGGATTCTGCTGAAGTGGAGATGCAGGCAAGTAGCTTATTTTTTGATTTGATGATTTTTCTCATTGACTGATGCTCTACCAGTTGAGCCATACCTCCAACCTCAAGTAGCTTCTTGATTCTTTCAAAGATTCCTGGGACAGAGATACATAATGGAAAAATGAGAAATTGGATCCTAGGATAATGGAAGCCATCTTGGCTTGGATGATATTGGTGATCTTCCAAACACGACAAAGGGCCCAGCAGAGGGACAACTTGTTTTTTTATTTTAAAAAAGGATTATGAGAAATATACTTTGTTTTAATGACTTTCATGTTTTTATTTTATTTGTTTTGGTGTTATTAGGGTTTGAACACACTTAGGGTCTTGTGCTTGCTAGGCAGATTCTCTACCACTTGAACTATATCCCCAACACAAATTCTATATTTTTATGATTACAAAAAATGATATTGTAAGCTGGGTGTGGGTGGCTCACGCTTGTAATCCCAACTACTCAGGAGGCTGAAACCTGAGGATCGGGGTTCAAAGCCAGCCTGGGCAGGAAAGTCTGTGAAACTCTTATCTCCAATAAACCACCAGAAAACCGGAAGTTGCGCGCTGTAGCTCAAGTGGTAGAGCACTAGCTTTGAGCTGAAGAGCTGAGGGACAGCACTCAGACCCAGAGTTCAAGCCCCAGGACTGACAAAACAACAACAGCAACAATAAAGATAATGAAAAAGGATTTGAAACAAAATTAGAACACTACAAAGAAGAAAATAAAAGCTTACCTGTAATTCTACTAATAGAAAACCTCTCTTAATTTATTTCTTCAAAGGACATAGTCTAAGCCATTATTCCAGTCTATTTGTTTTATGGTTGTTTTTCTTTTTTTTCTTTTCTTTTCTTTTTTTTGGGGGGGGGGTCCAGTTGTGGGGCCTGAATTCTGGGCCTGGGTGCTGTCCCTCAGCTCTTCAGTTCAAGGCTAGCGGTCTACCACTTGAGCCACAGCGCCACTTCCAGCTTTTTTTCTTTTTGCTTATGTGGTGCTAAGGAATTGAACCCAGGGCCTCATGCATGCAAGGCTAGCGCTCTACCACTGAGCCACCTTCACAGCCCCTGTTGTTTTTCTTTAAATGTTCCATTCTAGGAAATTATTTCTTCCTTTTGGTTTCTTTAGACTTGTTTTCTACTTTTTATTTTTTGTGGTGCTGAGGATCAAACTCAGACCCCTTGCACATTCTAGGCAAGTAATCTACCATTAAGCTATTACCTCCAGCCCCATCTTCTTCAAAAGGAAGCCAGGCACTGGTGGCTCATGCCTATAATCCTAGCTACTCAGGAGGCTGAAATCTGAGAATCACAGTTCAAAATCAGCCCTGGCAGAAAAGTCCCATGAGACCCTTGACCTCCAGTTAACTACCAAAAAGTTGAATGTAGAACCACAGCTCTTATTTTGATCCCAAAAGCTCAGGGGTACCCAGGCCCTGAGTTCAAATCCCAGGACAGGAACAAAAAGAAAAAGAAATGCCACAAAATTTAGGTGATGGCTGTGGCACTGCTAATGCTGCAATTTTTTTTCTTCATCAGTGCTAAATTATTTTAGTTAGGAGTGTTATCTAGTTTCTTTTCTTTTCTTTTTTTTTGTTGGTTGTGGGGCTTGAACTCTGGGCTTGGGCACTATCCCTCAGCTCTTCAGCTCAAGGCGAATGCTCTACCACTTGAGCTACAAGGCCACTTCCATGGAGTGTAGTATACACATGTATAGAGCTATAACAATTAAATCCCCCTTGTATAACTTACATAAGCTAATTAAAAATAAATAAATGAATTTGAGCACTCTACCATTTGAGCCACAGTGCCACTTCCAGTTTTCTGGTGGTTAATGGAGATCAGAGTCTCACAGAGTTTCCTGCCCAGGCTGGCTTTGAACAGTGATCCTTAGATCTCAGCCTCCTGAGTAGCTAGGATTACAGATGTGAGCCACTGGTGCCCAGCCTTGATTTTGTTTTAAATGAAGAACTTTATCTTCTACTGCTTGGTTTTTTTTGTGCATTTTTTTTTTGAAACAAGGGCTTGCCATGTTTTTCGTGATCCTCTTTCTGTAGCCTCTCAAGTGTTGAAATTACAGGTGCATACCACCACACCCAGCCACTTGTGCTTTTTAACAGTAGAGTTATTTTTCTATCAAAGTTTGTTTCTGATGTTGTCTTTTTGGGCACTAGGTTCCAGCAGTTTGGCAAATAAACACATAGTTACCAGGTTGCCCCAGGATTCTCCACTGTTCACCTAGCATGAACCTGGTTTCTTGTCCTAGACAAATGGCTGTTTACCAGATGTCTTGAAATACATGTATTCCAACTCCTCTATTTGCTGCCTACTTGAGTGTGCCATACACTCACACAAAGGATGTTGGAGAGGACTGTGCATAATGACTGAGAATGCAAACATCTATATACACTCTACACAGTACATGTAATATATGCACACACTTGTAAAAAATCTCTTGAGCAGACTCAGTTACTACAAAGTCCAAGCAGCATTTAATGGTCCGTCAAGTCAATTTGCAGAACTTTTCCACATTCCCATGACGCTTGGGGAAGAAAAAGCCCAATTTGCTTGGCAATAGGAGATGGTGTCTGTATGTAGGGATGAGTCAGCTTGAGACCTGGTGGCTCCAGGACCCCTAGATAGGGTAGGGTAGGTGGGATGTCTGACTTGGGAAAGGGACTTAGTCCCTACCTGAAAGCTGAGTGGCATTTTCTTACTTTTTAAGGTTTACTTTGTGCCATGGGACTGACTGGCCAATGGCTTTGAACTTTTCTTTCTCCTATAGCCTAGAGAGGGAATCTTTTAACTATTTGTGGATTTCTCTTAGAGCTACTTTGAGAGCTGACTTCTCTGTAGGCCCTGAACTATAGCAGACTGCTATGGAGCTGCTTTTCCATTGCCAAATGTATCTTCCAGTTCAGAGCTGTAGATATCTCTGAAGAATGTAGGTATCTAATCTACACATTAGTATCATTTCCTAAATGGCTTTATTCCTTTCATTTATAAATGGCCTCTTTCATGTCGTAACAGGGGAATGGGGCATCCCCCTGCTCAGTCTTCTCTTTCCTTCATCACCCTTTAACTGATCTTTTGGGAAAAGGGTATATATTGGAGTCTTAGCAACTTGAGATTTACCAGATACGCCGGAGGAGGCAGAATCAAAGAAAGTTACTTCGTTTAACTGGAAGATTTCCTTTTGCTCTTCCCACTTCTCAATCATTAAATTTTGTAAGGTCTGTCTACCCCTGAAAAGTCTAGGGAGCCAGTAATTGAAATATTCAGTATTTTCCAGTGAAAAGGGATATTTAGCTGAGTATGGTGGTGCATGCCTATAATCCCAGGATTAAGGAGAGGTACAAGACCAGAGTTTGAGAAATGCCTGGGCTATTTAGTGAGATCTTGTCAGAGAGAGAGAAAAAAAAAAGGAAAGAAGGAGAAAGAGAAGGTAGGAAAAGAACCCACGGGGAGAGATAGGGAATGAGAAGGAAGACAGAGGGAAAGAGAGAGGGAATAAGAAGGAGAGAGAAAAAGAGAAAGGTTGATTTAGTTGGTTCTGTAGTTTTGACTTTAGAAGTCTAAATATTAGGAACTAGGATGTAGCTCTGGGTTTGATTCTCAAACAAAGCAAAAAAAATTTTTTTAAAAGAAAAGAAACATCCAAAGATTAGGCCACTACAACACTTCATCACTTTGGTTGTCCCAGGGTAGCCAAAGGATAGGAATTCTCCCTCCCCCCCCTCCCCCCCAGCTGTAGGGCTTGAATTCTGGGCCTGAGTGCTGTCCCTGAGCAATTCAGCTTAAGGTGAGCATTCTAACACTTGAGCCACAGCGCCACTTCTGGTTTTCTGGTGGTTAATTGGGTGTAAGAATCTCATGCACGGTCCTGCCCTGGCTGACTTTGAACCACCATCCTTAGATCTCAGTCTCCTGAGTAGCTAGGATTACAGGTGTGAGCTACTGGCGCCTGGCAGGATAGGCAATTTTGAAGACTTAAGATTTAGGTGTAGCCTGTAAACTTTGCAGAACGTCCTTGCTAAGTTGAGGGTTGGCTGGTCTTTTCAAAGCATCAGGTTTTCATGTTGCATCTTTGTTTTTCAGTACTGGTGAGCAAACTCACATCCCAGCCATTTGTGCTGCAACTTGAAGAACCTTACATTTCTTTTTCCATTTCTGTAGTCAGATGCCCTGGATACAACTAGAAGATGATTCTCTGTACATATCCCAGGCTAATTTCATCCTAGCCTACCAGTTCCGCCCAGATGGTGCCAGCTTGAACCGTCGGCCCCTGGGAGTCTTTGCTGGGCATGATGAGGATGTTTGTCATTTTGTGCTGGCCAACTCACATATTATCAGTGCAGGAGGGTAAGTACTGCAGGATTTTCCTTTCATCTCTTCCTTAGTGTTCTTCAGGGACCTGTGTCTGCCTCTGACTTTCTGGTCTCAACTCCAAAATGATGAGGAGACTAGAAAAGGGGATGGTATTTTCTTTTCCATTCAAAGCAGAGAGCTAACAGGGTTAGCTGGGGAAGGAAAAATAGAAAGAACCTATTCACATTAAGCAAAGTTGATACTCTGTAGGAAGAATTTGTCTCCTTTCTCAGCTCTATCCAGCCCCAAGTGTACTGAAGAAGTCAATGTTGCTAGAAACTCAGCACCTTTTGGTACTAACTGCCTAATGCTTAAATTTGGGTGTCACTGGAAAATTGGGCTGCTTTAATAGACTTGTTCTCTGAGAATAATTGCCTCTTGGGGGTGGGCTCCCTTTTCTCCCCTAGAGATGGGAAGATTGGCATTCATAAGACTCATAGTACCTTCACTGTCAAGTACTCGGCTCACGAACAGGAGGTGAACTGTGTGGACTGCAAAGGGGGCATCATTGTGAGTGGCTCCAGGGACAGGACGGCCAAGGTAGGGTGGTCTCCCTCTTCCTTACTGTAATTCCCTCCTGTCTATAGGTTCTTGAGTGGGTAAAGTCTTGAGTCCCAGGTTGGCTGAGAGAATTTGGTGGGGGCAGGAAAGAAATGATACAATAAAGGATTCACTTATGTGCCTCTGGTATGTAGTTTACCATGCTAGGCTGTGTCCCTGCCAGCTGGACTGGAAAGGGATAGATGGTGGCTGGGAAGTTTGCCATTCACTTGAAATGTGGCATGAACTCAAAAACAGAGGGCCTGGCCAGCTTTTCCTCCCTGAGCTGAGTTTCCTTAAGTTTGTGGGTTGAGATCTGACCCCAATATTTTACTTTAAAGTCTCTCTCCTTTTGATTACTCTGTTTAGGAAGGATTTTATTTTTTCCCTCCCTCCTTCCTTCCTTCCTTTCTTCCTTCCGCCCTCCCTCTCTTCTTTTCCTCCTTCTCCACCTCCTCTTCCTCATCTTTGTCTTTGTAGTCCTCCTCCTCCTGCTCTTCCTCCTCCTCCTCATTTATAAGCTACCAACCTGATAATTAAAATGTTTTTTGTTTTTACTGCTCCTCTGAAAAATATGTGGTCAGTAAGCAAAGAAGACAAGGAGAAAAGAATGTTATTTGTTGAGTCACTGCCAAATTGCCTGATATATAGACATCCACCAAGGCACAAAAGAATGAGCCTGATAAACAGTATGACCCTTGCTTTGTGGACTCAGCTCATCTATGTCTGGGCCAAGTAGGCTCCCATTCCTAAAGCAGAGAAGAAATTCTTTCTTCAAACCACAGGGCCTGGTCCTTTGAGGCTGCTGTGGGAACTTTGCTGACAGTTCAGTTGGTAGTGTAGGAAGCCATGTAGTGTCTTGCTTGTATATTTCTCAGCATCTAGAGGTTCCATAGTGCTAACTGGGGCAATATGCTTGTTGGGATCAGCATATAGGCCTCTAAGCCAAACAGGGAGAAAGACCAGGAAAGGGAAGTTGCAGTCTTTCACTATCTTTCCTGACTCTTAATTTACCTGTAGCAATTATTCTTGATTGTGCTAATTTATATAAAAGACACTTAAATTTATATAAAAGGGTTAAATACATTTCCTTCTGTGTTTCTCCCCCGTCCCTTTTTTTTTTTTTGCCTTATATACTTAGCCAGAGAGAATGTACACTATCATGGGAAACCTGAGGGAAGAACCCAGCAAATGTTTTAACCAACATGGAAGCAACTTTCATGTCAACTTGTTTCTTCTTTTTCTTCCTCTGTCATGTACTCATGTTTCTGTTTGGTCACTGTTAATATAGCATTCCTTACAAAGACACTGGCCTTTACCTGCCATACTTCTCAAGAACAAATTTATATAGGAACCTTTTATGCCATTTTTGACCCATCTGTAGGCATTTTCCTGTTGTGGCTTATGATTTTGCCCAGTTCACTCTTTTTTTTTTTTTTTTTTTAAGTAACATCTCATTCTTCTATCCTGTTTCTGTGGAGCAGTAAACTAAGCTTTGTGATTATATAAAGGATATGTACTGCTTATAGTTGAAGAATGACTTCATGTGGGATGTGGGACTTATTTCACACACAAATATTTATTCACCCTATTTAGTGACTAAGGTTTTGTTTTAGGTTTAAGATAGGATCCAAAAAAACAATAAGTACAGCTAGCACAGGTGGCTCAGACATGTAATCTTAGCTAGTCAGTTATAAAATATCCCTAAGCAAAGATAATAAGTAACAACTAGAATTCAAATCTAGATTGGTCAGATTCTAAAGCTCAGTCATGCTTTTTTTTTTTGCAACCACAGGCTTCAGGATATATTTTGCCACTTAGGATTTTTTAGAAATTAGAAAATCTAGAGGTCTTTTACTTCACTTTTTGTGATTTGTTTTATTTTTGCGTTTCCCCTTTTGTTGCTTTTTAAAAAAATTTCTGTATGTTTTGTCTTGTATGTAGCTTTATCTGTTTTAGGGATGGCAAGGGAAGCACAGAAATGGTAGGACAAAGGGTGAACTAATTCGGCAGTAATACTTATTAGACACTATGTTGAAAATGAACTATACAACTTGGGTGGAAGAGGATTTGGGAGAGAAAAACTTGTAATTGACAACATGCTTTTGGAGCCACTCTTGGAGACAAGAAACCTTGTTCCAGGGTTTGTAGAATCTAGGGATCCAGCAGGCCTCTTTGTGTATAGGCCACTAGTGAATTCAGGCCTAGGCTGTCCTATAGGATTTTGTAAACCAGATTCCCTAGCATTACATCTCCTAAAAGCCAAAGCCTGACAGAAAAGAGACAAAACTAGCTCTCTTCCATGCTGGAGTAGTCTAAAAAAGGAAATCAGAAATACTGACAAAAGAGCTATTAATCTCAAAGAATAGGTCTGAATCTTGGCATTCCAAAGAAAATGGTGGTATGTACCTTTGATTTCAGTCCTTCCTCATTTAGGAACTCCTTTTTAAATTATTTTCCTTTCTCAGAAAGAAAAAGTTACTCTGTTAATCACCCCATCCCCCACCCCATCAAATATAAAACTCCAAGCAACACTTTCTCCTTTTATAGGATAGAGATACCATGTGACCCTAAGAAGGCAGGACCACCCCCACTCCATCACTTACCCCTTACATTGAAGGAATGTTTCCTTAAAGTTCTTCCATCTAAGGGCCTGCTTGTGTTTCGTATGTTCCTCTTATAGCACTGTAGGACCTTGAGAGGTCATTGATCCATCTGGCTGCCTCGGGATCCCTCCACAGCTGCTGTTGGGGACAGCCCTGAGCATTGGAGGTTTCCTTTCTGTTTGGTTAGAAGCTTATGTCCCTGTGTGTCATCTGCGGTAGGGTGAGGTGAGGGGAGCCTTGTGCTTAATGGGAGATTTCTAAATGCACTGACTGCCGAGAGGGCTCTGGGAGTGTTGATTAGAGTTAAGCCTAGAGTGGCTGCTAATGTACATTCCTGACTGATAGGGACCAGATAATATGCTCTGAGCAATATTTTTAACCTGTGGAGATATGGAAGCTTAAAAGAGTTAAGCTTTTCTGCTACTTTTGGTGACACTAGGTGCTAAATTCCCTGCTGACATGAGTAGTATTGGGTCCTGGGCATTCTGAACAAACAAACAATAACAATACCACCTTGTTTTTTTGAAGTCTCTCCTTCCTTCTCTCCTCCCCTTTGCAGCTTTCTTTTTACTCTTCTGATTCTCTCCGTACTCTGTACTGTACTTTAATCTTTCTATCTCTCTCTACTTGCCTATAGTAAACTCTTGGTGAATGATAGCAGAAAGGAAGATTCACAAACATGCGGAAGAGAGCTTGCTTAGAGAAGCAAGCCCCATTTTTCCCTCTTCTTAGTCAAATCTCAGCCAAGGAATGTGGAACTTTCGATTTCCTGGTGTGAAATTGGCTAGTAAGTGAGGGCTCTCACATGGGAGTAGAAGAGGGTGCTTAGGACTAGAAACGGGAGTCTCTTTCCCGTTAGGCAAGCTAGAAGCTGGAGAGGCCCTTTTGCTGATACCCTCAGTGTTCTGTGTGTGGGGAAGAAAGGATTCTCCATTTCCTCCCTAGTCATGGTCACCCTACCTAAGAACCTTTCCTTCTTCCTAATCTTAGGCAATGCCAACAAGAATGTCTCCTTTCCTGATTCCAGGTATGGCCATTGGCCTCGGGCCGGCTGGGACAGTGCTTACATACCATTCAGACAGAAGATCGCGTTTGGTCTATTGCTATCAGCCCATTACTAAGGTAAGGGAGGTACTTTTGGTTGTGATTTTTTTCCTACATAATATTGATTTTATTTTATTAAGTCGGATGAGCTAGAAAATCATCAACCTGTATATTTAGGTTGCTTGAGCCATGTTCTTGTGTATTTAAAATTCTCCAGAAACTTGAAGTATTTAGATCTCTATACCCATGGGGTAAGATCAGCTTCTAGAGCTATTTTCCTAAGCACCTAACCTCAGAACTGTTAAGGAAAAAAAACCATATTGGAATGTAACTGAGAACTCAACTGTTGCCACAGCATCCTTTCAGAGCAGATACCCTCTGGGGTTGTTCCAAAGCAGAGGACTGTCAGTGTCCCTAAGAAATGATCAAATGACTAGCTTGCTGCCCTGACTCCCATCTCTGGCTTTGTTCCTCTGGAAAATCTCCTCTTGAATGTCTCCTATAGGTACCAGGCATCAAGAGGCTTAGAGCCTATATCCAATTGGATACTTATCCACAGACCTGTAGAGGAACAGAAACACTGACAATTATAATGGAAGCCAAACTTTTTAAAAAATTATTTATTTTTAAGACAAGATCCCACTGTGTAGTCTAGACTGGCCTGGAACTCACATTTCTCCTGCCTATAAACGCTGGGCATTTGCTACTATGCCTGGCTACAAGTACAACATTTTTTTTTTTGGTCATGGGGCTTGAACTCTGGGCCCGGGCACTGTCCCTTAGCTCTTTAGCTCAACGCTAGCTAGCGTCCAACCACTTGAGCCACAGTACCACTTCCAAGTACAACATTTTTGATGATGGCTTTACCCTGCCCTTTAGTCTGACTACTGTTTCTTTAGCTTTAACTAGAGAGGTAAGAACAAGTATACTCTTGAGCCAATGCAAGGCCTCTTTCCTCCCCAGCAGGCTTTCATGGATACTTTCTCCTATACCTGTACCATCATATGAGTTAGTAAAAAGTTACATGCCAGTGTCTCATGCCTATAATCCTGGCTACTCAGGAGGCTGAGATCTGAGGATCAGTTTGAAGCCAGCCTGGGCAGGAAAGTCTGTGAGGCTCTTACTTCCAGTTATCCACCAGAAAACTAGAAGTGATGCTGTGGCTCAAAGTGGTAGAGCTTTAACCTTCAGAGAAAAAACTTAGGAATAGCTCTCAGGTCCTGATTTCAAGCCGTATAACTGGCCGGAAGAAAGGAAGGAAGAAAGGAAGAAAAGAAAAGAAAAGAAAGTTAGTAGAGGCTTCTCTCACTTTCGGTACCCCCACTTCACTTCCCATCTGAATGGAATGGAGAGAGCTGTAGGGTTGCCACCTTCCAACACTGGGTTAAATCAATCACTTGTTTTATGAGTGAGTTGGTGCCCTCTTTGCTTAGTCCCCTTTTCCTTCCCCTTACTGTGTGGAGCCTGTACCCCTCCTTCTACTCTCTTCCACTATTCCCTTTCAAATTTTTTTCTTCCTAAGAATTAGAGCCGATTAGCCACGTCATTAATTCTTCAATTTGACGGCTGATATAGCAGGACCTGAAACACATTGCTGACCCCAGAGAATGGAGATCCCGTTCCTTAGCATATTGACGATGGGAGAAGTTAATTAAAATTCCACAGAGCAGAGGTGTCGGCTAACCTATAAACCTGTCGCTGTTCAGAACAAATCATTCTAGCAATCCTAGGAAAGAGGAAAGGAAAGACCAACAGGGAGTAGAGAGGCTAAGTGTGTGGGAGCGGAGGGTAGAAACTGGAGCCTTTGAGCTTTGTCTTCTCCTCGAGCTCATTAGCCAGGCTTGGGTGTCATTGGGCTAGCTATGTGTAAGGACTGAAGGGAGGTCCGAAGGGTGTGGGAGGTGACAGGTGTGCTGATGACTTTGTCTTAGTGGTTGCATGTGGACTTACGCTGCTCTTCAGAAGACTGGGAGTGGGATTGGTGATAAAGGGAACTATAGATTGAAGATGATCCACATACTTCTTACATACAGATAGAGTTCAAAAAGTGAAGACTGGTTTACCTGTACCTCTAGCTTCAGAGTCCTCTACTTTAGCCACCTCCTCTGGATTGTATTAGGCTCTTTTAACAGAAGAGAGCACAGCATCTTTTGCAAATGGTATCAGTAAGAGGGGTAGAGGATAGAATTTATTAAGAACCATTTGAGATCTTATTTTTTTTAATTTAATTTTGTTTTATTTGTGAACATACTGTACAGAGGGGTTACAATTGCATGGGCAGGATATGAGATCTTATTTTTTGGTGACAACTTGAACTGGCTGTAGAAAATTAGTTAGCTTTTTTTTTTTTTTCTTTTGTGTTGGTCCTGGGACTTTAACGCAAAGCCTAAGTGCTGTTCCTGAGTTTTTTTGCTCAAGGCTAGCATTCTACCACTTGATCTATGGCTCCATTTCTGGCTTTATTGGATGGTCAATTGGAGATAAGAGTCTCATGGACTTTCCTGCCTGGGCTTGCTTTAAACAGCAACCATCCGATTTCAGCCTCCTGAGTAGTGAGGATTACAGGTGTGATCCACTGCCACTGGTGGCTTAGCTTTCTATTTGCTTGTTACTACTTGCTGCTGCTGTATGACTGCCACAGTTACTAGCCAGCAGCTCTCTCTGTACAGACCCTCTAAGTCTTTCTTATGTGTCTTATCTTTGGTGAACACCTGGACCTTCAGTTTTCTTCACATGGCCTAGATGATTCTTTCACTCATAGTTACCTGGCTATTCAGCTTCTGATCCATTTATTTGATATGGCTTTTCCCCCAACTCCACAGATGATGTCTTAGTCTTTTAAAATAGCTTCTATTTGGGATTCTTACTTTATACTAGATGATCAAGGCATGAACTTGTATTATTTGTCCCTTTGTCTCTTATCTAAGGAATATTCTGGGCTAGGATCTTCTTCTTTATTATTAGATCCATATCTTTTCATTGTGTCCATGACTTTGAAGCTTCCCAACCCTTCTACACAACCCTTCTATATAACCTTACAGTATGTTCAAAGCAGTGTGGGAGATGATTTTTGCTTTGTCCACTACTAGCACTGTTACTGAAGATGAGTCATTCCCTCTCCTAACCTTAGCTTCCTCATCATGTGAATATTCTTTTCTTTATAGACGTTACTAGATTACCATGGAGATGACTTTAAAAGATGCCCATGAAAACTCTGAAAAGCTAAAAGGGGACCTGTGATTCATGCCTGTAATTCTAGTTACTCAGGAGGCTGAGATCTGAGGATCATAGTTCATAGCCAGCCAGGACAGGAAAGTCTATGAGACTCTCATCTCCAATCAAACACCAAAAAAAACAAAAAAGATGGAAGTATTTAAGCCCCAGGATCAACACACACACACACACACACATACACACACGCACGCACGCACGCACGCATGCATGCACACGAAGGCTAAAAGGTATCTATGTCAACCAGAATCTTCTCAGGTCTGGCATTTGTTTTGTTGCTTCAGTTGTTCTCAATTCCATTTCATGGGCTGCCCTGAGCTTCAGTCAGTACCAAGGAGTTACATTGCTCTTCTGCAGTCTTCTTGAGGTAGAGACTCAGTGGGTGTCTCTCTTCTTCCCCCCACCCTCCCACCCAATGACCCTGTGCTCAATGACTGCCTTTTGTTCTCATAGCTGTCCTATCACAAATGTATCATTGCCTTGGACCCTTCATGAAGAATATGAGAGGATGTAGGCATACTCATTACAGGATGTAGGACAGGCACTTCCAGTTTCTCTGACAATTTCTAAGCCCCTTGTTGCTCCTTTGTATAGTCCTGAACAGCTAGGAGACCTAGCATAGCTCTTTCTTCTCAATCTCTTTGTTCTGTTGAAAATAATTCATTTAACTCTGCATCTTGTTTATTTTTTTTATGATGGATTATTTCTGCCTCCCCCCCCCCTTTTTGTTGTTAGTTGTGAACTCAGGGCCTGGGCACCATCCCTGAGCTCTTTTGCTGAAGGCTAGCACTGTACCACTTTGAGCCATAGCTCCACTTCCTGTTTTTGAGTGGTTAATTGAAGATAAGAGTCTCAGAGAGACTTTTCTGCCCAGGTTGGCTTCAAACCATGATCCTCAGATCTCAGTCTCCTGAGTAACTAAGATTACAGGCGTGAGCCACTGGTGCCTGCTCTGCCTTCTTTTCTTATGTGTGTACTAAGGCATTTATAGCATAAAACTTGGAAGCACAAACCCCAGGCTTACTATGAGGTGCTCTTGATCAGGAGAAAGCAGAAATTCTGTCCTGTGTCCACATGCCCCTTTTCCTGCCTTCTATGTTCTTGAGTTCTTGATTTATAAACAATCATTATAAATGCTCAGAGCTGTGTTTAGGTACTAAAAAATATTGAAGGAAAACAGTTGGCTCCATAGGAAAGTGGCATGTGCCTGTGTACTAACCTTCTCATCCCGACCTCATTAATCCTGTTTTCAACATTCATGACTTGTCAATGAAGCCCTCTTCCATAGGAGAGGGCCCATCTGTCATTGTTGAATGAGAAGAGGACAGGCTGGGAAGGCATGGAACATGCTTGGGGTGGAAGAGCTTGTGTCTGGTGCAGTTGTGGGGCAGGATTCAGACTAGCTGGTTTCAGATACAAGTTCCTGAGAGCACATTGAATTTTGAGTACTTTCCCATGAGTAGCATAGAAAAGCAGATTTAAAAAACTATATACTATGTCTTATTACCATTTCAAGGTTATTTCCAGTCAACTAAAGTTAGTAAATACTAAAGATCAAGAAAATTCAGAACTGTTGGAGATTTAATGTCATTCCCTTCTACTTCTCAATTCTTCCTTTCTTATTCTTTTTCAGTTTGCTTTTCTATGTGTTTTTCTGCTTGCTCTGTGGTAGCTCCCCATAGCTCCCAGAGTCAAGGGGATAAGATGGATACATTACTGATGATCTGATGGGTTCTGATGATTGCCAGACTAGAGTAAATGCCTCAGAATAGGCTGTCTCTGGTTAGGGAAAAGGAAGAATGTCATTCTTTTTTGGACAAAGGTAGAAATTTAGGCCCAGGGAAGAT